ACACTGGCATGTAAATCGTTTGGACACCTGGTGGGAAAGCACAGTGGTGAGTCATCCCCTCAGTGTGACCGAACTTGCCAACCTAGTCATGGGTCTGTCAAAGGGCACTCAGTAAAGGAAGAGAAGCTCCAGGCACTGTCCTCTGCCTGTGCACTCTCCATCCACACATCTATCATCCATGACCTGACAATTGGGGCTGTCCTGACTCATCTGAGTCCCCAGCACCACCCAGACATCAGGGCTAGAAAGCCTGAGAGCTATGAGTCAGCATCCCTGCCCATCTCCATTCCCTGCACCTCCAACTTCAGCTGAGATTCTGACGTATGCTACCATCTCGCTCAGCCCTGTTACCTGCTGTTACCACAGCACTGTGACCTGCCCCGCGGACCTCACTCCAGATCCTCCATTTGATCCCTGTCTTCCAACCACTCCATGGATGCTGTTTTTCTTACTCTGCTCATTATTCTGCAGTCAGAATCTGCTGCTAATTGTGCTCCTAAAAAGATGTGGAAGTTGCTGATGGAGCTGAGCAGTAGAGCCCCTGCCTAGAATTCCCCAGTGAGGGGCTCGGGGTGTGGCTCAGTGGTAGAGCACCTGCCTAGGATCCCCCAGTGAGGGGCTGGGGTGTGCCTTAGAGGTAAAGCACTAGCCTAGAATCCATCAATGAGGTGCTGGGGGTGTAGTTCAGAGGTAGAGCACTTAACTAGCATTGAAAAGTAATAAAAGGTCATGTTGGGCTGGGCACAGTAGTGCACATTTGTAATCCCAGCTCTTTGGGAGACTGTGGCAGGATTTTGAGTTTGAGACCAGGCTAGATGTTATAGTAAGACCCTGTCTCAAAAAGAAAGGGAGGGAGGGAGAAAGGGGGGGGGCAAGTTTAAATCCTGACCCCAGGGATTTATGTGTATGACATAATGACATAACAAGTTAAGCTGTGCTAAGGTTGGGGGCCGGTGAGATGGCTCCGTGAGTAAAGGTGCCTACTGCCAAGCCTGGCAACCCAAGTTCAATCCCTGGGATCCATGTAAAGATGGCAGAAAAGATTTAATTCCTGCAAGCTGTCCTCTGACCTCCACATACACACTGGCACACACAGAGACATGTGCATATACACAGATAAACAGAATAAGCAGATGTGGTCAGACTGGACAGGAATGCACTCTTGGCATTCACATGGCAAGGCCACAGGGTGCCCAGATATTTGGTCAAACATTATTCTATGTGGTTCTGGGAGGATGTTTTAAATGAGATTAATATTCACATTGACAAATTGAGGAGACTGGAGAGATGGCTCAGCGGTTAAGAGCACTAGCTGCTCTCGCAGAGGACCTGGGTTTGGTTCCCAGCACCCACAGAGTGGCTAACAACCATCTGTAACTCCAATTTCAGGAGAGCCAATGCCCCATTCTGACCTCTGAGGGCTCCTGCATGCACGCAAGGCACATGCCTACACTCAGGCACACATAGGAGATGGGCCTCTGGGCATGCCTGTGGGGATTATCTTTGCTAGATCCACTGAGGCAGTAAGACCTGTCCACCTTGGAGGCACCATTCCCTGGTTGGGATCCCAGGCTGCACGAAAAAAAGAGGAAGCCAGCTGAGTCCAGCCATTCATCACTCTGGTCCCTGAGTGACTTCCTGCCATGAGAGACTGGAAGGTGAGCCAAGATGGGCTCTTTTCTTTTAGATTTGTTTTTATGGGGGCTGGAGAGATGGCTCAGCGGTTAAGAGCGCTGACTGCTCTTGCAGAGGACCCAAGTTTGATTCCCAGCACCAACATGGCAGCTCACAACCGTCTGTAACTCCAGTTCCAAGGGATCCAACACCCTCTTCTTCTGACCTCCGCGGTACTGCACAACATGGGTGCACCTACCTACACGCAGGCAATACACTCATACACATAAAATAAAAATAAATGAAATATTTTTTTAAAGATTTATTTTTATTTTATGTGTACCTGCATGTATGTAGTGCACCTTGTTCATGAAGTGCCCACAGAGGCCAGAAGAAGGCATGTACTCCTCTGGAACTGCAGTTACAGGGAGTTGTGAGCTGTCACCCAGGTACTGGGAACAAACCCAGGTTCCCAGCAAGAGCAGCCAGTGCTCTAAACACTGAACCAACTCTCCAGTCCACCAGTTGTTTTTGTCACAGTGTTTTACCATGCAGTAGGAAAAGTACCCAAGACACCACCCAATGAAGACACCCAATGAAAATCAGTACACCAAGGTCACTGGTGGTGGATGGTTGGGTTGCTGGTGATGGGACAGTGTGCCTTGGCTGGAGACATTCCATGTACTATCACAGATTATTCCTGAGAGACGAATCTGACCACACAACTCCACCAGGAAGGGACAACTGGGAGCTCACAGCTGGCTCTCCTGGCTCTATGCACCCCTCTGATGTTAACCAGTGTCCTTTTCCTGAAACAAACAACTGAAATCTAAGTTTCCTATTCCGATTCACTTCTGGCCAATCATCACACTGGAGAGAGGGACCCCCACACCACTTCTCAAAATCCAGACTCCCAAACTCCAGCCAAGAGCCAACTCCAAAAGACAGCAGCCTCCAGCCTGCATGCCAATCCTTTCTTTTTTCTTTTTCTTTACGTAGGTCTCTGTGTACACACACACCTATGTGCACACAGGCAGGAACCAGAAGAGGGAGTTAGGTACCCCTGTCTATCTGTCACTCTCCACCTACCCCTTTGAGGCAGGGTCTCTCTGTGAACCTGGGGCTCAAATTTCCTCAGCTAGGCTGGAAGCCAGCAAGCCTCAGATAACCTCCAGCCGCCACCCCTCCACCCCTATCTCAATCCCAGGCACGGGCTTGTTATGTGGGTGCTAGGAACTGAACTCTGGTCCTCATGATTGCACAACAAGCACTCTGAACCACTGAGCCATTTCTACAGCCCCTATAAACCTTTTTTATACACCCAGGAACATCTGATCCCTGCCTGACTTCCACTTGTAGTGTGATCCAAACTAAGAGGGAAAGAGTCAGTTTCCCCATAGAGCTGGAGGCAGTAAATTGTTGGGGACCCCTGCTGTGTAAAGTAGTAGTTTCTCCATGTCCGGATAGCCCACGGGCTCGGTTCAAAATGCAGAGACTCCTTTTAACAGCAGTGTGTCTTTCCTAGCATTTTCCTGACTCACCTTTTGAAGTGACCGCCACAAATGCCCTACCATAAACATGGCCTCTGGCTCTGGAAATGCCATGCTTTCCTGTGTGATTTTTCTGGCGGTCTGGCAACCTGGCAGGAGTTCACTTCCATATGTAAATAGGGTGTCTCACAAAGTGCCTATCAGCTAAAGCTTTTACCACTACCCCCACGGTATAAAATATCCTAGTCTTCCCTCAATAATAGAGAGCTGGATCACTAGGAGCTAGGAGCTGAAACACTGAGACTGAGACCTGAAGCCAAGCAGAATCATTTAATAAAGGGCTGTAACACGGACTAAGCTGAGTCCTGTGTCTTACTGCCGGCGATCCAGGCTCTCCGGGGGGCGCTATCCTTCCGTCATCGACTCACGGACACCCAGCTTCGGCCGCCTCGCACTTTCCCGCGTGATCCAGCGGCCGGTGGATCTCGCATCTTGAGGAAAGTGCACAGGTGAAATTAGGGCGGGACCCAGCCGGGCAACGCCCCGGCAGCCGCAGACTTTCAGCACTAAAGTGGCAGACAGCGACATGGTGCGCGGCGCGACGGAGAAGCCCGCGGGACCCGCGCCACGACTTTCCACGTGTGCGCGGGGGCCCCGAGATACCCGCGCACCCCACACCTGGCACCCAGTGCGCCCCACAGTAAATGTTTGCTGAAAAGGTTGGCTAGTAAAAATTTGTGAGTTCAAAAGGCCATACGGCCCACTTCTATGAAATTGTGGGGCAGGAGCAACCACAAGCTCACAGGCAATGCCTTAAAGAGCAGCCAAGAGCAGCCAATACTGGGTTCCAATAAAACTTTATTGACAGACCCTGAAATTAGAAAATCAGAATTTCAAAGAATGTTCATGTGTCATGAAACATTATTACACTTTATTTTTGTTTGGTTGGTTTTGGTTTTTGAGACGAGATGACCTTGAAATCACTATGTAGCCCAAGATGGCCTCAAATTCAAATCAGATCCTCCTGCCTCAGTTTCCCAAGTGCTGAGAAGTACGAGCATACATCACCACACCTGGCTACTTTTCATTCATGTTTCTGACTCTTTAAAATGTAAAATATAAAAAAAACTAAAAGATATATGAAGAAAAATGTAAAATACGTAAATATTAATGTCTAAAACCAAACTCTAAAATATCACTTGCAGGTTACTTAAAAAAGGCAGAGTGGGGCTGGAGAGATGGCTGAGTGGTTAAGAACAGTAGTTGTTCTTGCAGAGGATCCGAGTCCAAATCCCAGCATCTACATGGCGACTATGAACTGTCCTTAACTCCAGTTCCAGGGGAATCCAAAGCCCTCTTCTGACTTCCGTGGTATTGCATGACATGGGTGCACTCACATACGTACAGGCAAGACACTCATACACATAAAATAAAAATACTAAATAAAATTTTTTTTTTGGTCTTTTTGAGACAGGGTCCCTCTGTAGCCCCAGCTGTCCTGGAACTCACTGTGTAGACCAGGCTGGCCTTGAACTCACAGAGATCCGCCTGCCTCTGCCTCCCGAGTGCTGGGATTAAAGGTGTGCGCCATCATGCCCGGCTATATTTTTTTTTTTAAATGTCAAAATCAGACATGGTGGTGCACACCTGGAATCCCAGCACTGGGGGGGTGGATATGGGGCTGATCAGGAATGTAACCATGAATTTCAAACCACCTTGAGCTACAAAGCAAGGTCCTATCTCAATAAACAAAAAAAAAAATGGAAACAGGTGACAACTGCATTTAGCCAGATCATGTTGGCCAACATCTGCTTTAGAAAAGGCTAGGTTTGGGCTCCTCAGAGGCTGGCCAGCAGTCCAAAACCTTGACCCACAGGGCCAGCTTTCTCCACCTACCTTCAATGATCTTCCTCGCAAACTTGCGGATGGACTTGAGGGAAGCCAAGTCCAGGTGCCGAGCACGGACACGATGATTCAGGGTCTCACCACGTATGTTCTTTGCAGCCTCCTCACACTTCTCCATGTCACGACAAGCCAGAATGATGTTCCCCCCTGGAAGCCCAGGAGAGGAAAACATGGAGAGAAAAAAATCCACCCCAACATAACTACCCAACAGAAACAAAAACATACACCAACCAGAAACAGTGTACCAGCATGCAGTCACACATTCATAAGAGTCAAAAGGAACCCAAATATCACCAGGCCTGGTGGTGCAGACCTGCAATGCCAGAGACTCTGGAGGTCAAAAAAGAAGACTGGAAGCTCAAGACCTAAGTCAGGCATGGTGGTGCATGCCTTTAGTCCCAGCACTCGGGAGGCAGAGGCAGGCGGGTCTCTGTGAGTTCAAGGCCAGCCTTGAAAGATTTATCGTCCTCTTTTTTTTTTTTTTTTTTTTTTTTCTAAAAAAAAAAAAAAAAAAAAAAAAAAAAAAAAAAAGGTTCAAGATCTGACTCCACAGTGGGGTCAAGACCTGCCTGGGCAACTAAGTAAGAACTAAAAAGCCAAAGAAGGGGCTGGAGATGTGGTTCCATGGACACACTGTTTGCCTAGCATGCATGAGGCTCTTGGTTTGATCCTCAGTGAAGCTTGGTGGCTCACACCTGCAATTGCAATCCCATCACTCCTGAGGTAGATGCAAGAGGATTAGGAGTTTAAGGTCATTCTCAGCTACATAGGGAGTTTGAGGCCGGCCTGGGCTACCCTGTCTTAAAAAATAATAATAATAATAAAAGACTAAAGAAGGCTGATGATGTAGCTCAGTGGTAGAGCACTTTCCTAGACTCCACCAATAATGGGCTGGGGGTGGGGCTCAGTGCAGAGGGCTTGCCTAGAATTCACCAGTGAGGGGCTGGGGGCATAGTTCAGCAGTGGAATGCTTGCCTAAAATCTACCAGTGAGGAGCTGGCGGTGTGACTCAGAGGTAGAGCCTTACCTGGTGTCCTAGTTTGCTTCTCCTATACTGTGATAAAACACTGACCGAAGGAACTTGGGGGAGGACAGGGTTTATTTCAGCTTACAGTGTAATTTTTCATGGAGGGAAGCCAGGACAGGAGCTCAAGGAGTGTGCTGGATAGCTTTAGTGTCAACTTGACACACCTGGGTTGTGGGAGCCTCAATTGGGGAATTTCCTTCATTAGACTGGTCTGTGGCCATGTCCATGGGGCACCTTCTTGATTGCTGTATGATATGGGAGGGCCCAGCCCACTGTGGGTGGTGCCACCCCTGGGAAGGTGGGCCTGTGTTGCATAAGAAAGCAGGCTGAGCAGGGGCCAGGGAAGCAAGCCAGTAAGCAGCATTCCTCCATGGAATGTGTTCCAGCTCCTGCCTCCAGGTTCCTGCCCTGAGTTCCTACCTTGGGCTCCCTGATGAACTGTGACCTGGGAGATGTAAGATAAATAAACCCTTTCCTCCCCAAGTTGGTAGTGGTCAGAATGTTTTGTCACAGCAATGGAGACACAAACTAGGACAAGCAGCAACCCAGGAGCAGGAAGCAAAGCAGGGACCATGGAGGACTGCTGCTCACTGGCTTGCTCCCCCTGGCTTGGTCAGCCACCGTCCCTCCCCAGGGATGGCACCACCCACAGTGGGCTGGACCAGCCTATATTAATTAACAAGAAAATGCCTCTCAGACTTGGTCACAGGCCAGCAGAATGGAAGCAATTCCTCAACTGAGGTTCTTGACTCTAATTTGTCTCAAGTTGACAAAAACTAACTAGTAAACAAAAGGCCCTGGGTTCAACCCCCAGCACACACAAAAAATGACAAATGTCCATCCACCAATCAATGGATAAACCAACTGCAGTCTATCCATGCAATAGAGTATTATTCAGCCATAAAAAGGAAAGACGCACTGACACATGACACAGGGTGAATGGACCTAGAAACCATTATGCTTGGTGGGCCACAAAGTCATACATTTCCACTTATATGAACCATCCAGAACACATAAATCCATAGAGATGGAAGCAGGTCAGCAGTTTCTAGGGACGGAAGAGGGAGAACTAAGGTGCAATGGATAAAGAATATGAACATGCCTACTGTTAGGGTGATGAAAATGTTCTAAAGATGTTTGGGAAGATGGCACCTACCATCAACCTTCTATCTCTACTATTATGACTACTCTAGAACCTGCGAGTTGGCTCAATGGTTAAAGGAGCTTACTACCAAGACTGAGGACTTGAGTTCAATCCCTGGAACTCACATGCTGGAAGGAGAAAACCAACTCCCAAAAGTTGTCCTCTAACCTCCACACACCATGGCTAGCTTGAGCCCATGTGCGCGTGCACGCACACACACACACACACACACACACACACACACACACACACGCACACACACACACACAGTACATAGTTAAAAAAAAGAAAGAACATCATTACTCTAGCAAGCAGAACTTTTGTTTGTACTGTTGTTTTAAGGTTTTGGTTTTGGGGTTTTTTTTTTTTTTTGGTCTTTTTGAGACAGGGTCTCCCTGTAGCCCCTGCTGTCCTAGAACTCACTATGTAGACCAGGCTGGCCTTGAACTCAGAGATCTGCCTGCCTCTGCCTCCCGAGTGCTGGGATTAAAGGCATGCGTCACCACACCTGGCTAGGGGTTTGTTTTTTTTTTAAGACAGGGTCTCCCAATAGTCCCAGTTGGCCCGAAACTCACTATGGAGACCAGGCTGGCCTCAAACTCATAGAGATCCACCTGCCTCTGTCTCTTGAGTGCATGGCTTTTTTTTCCTTCATTTAGTGCAATGTTCTCTAGGCTCATCCATGTTAGAATAACATGTTCTAATATGGTAGAATCCCCTTCCTTTTGAAAGCTTGGTAAAACTCCACTATACATATGGACCACATTTTGTTTATTCATCTGTGGATAAATACCCACGATACTTCCACCTTTAAGGTATTGTGAACAAGGCTGCTCTGAACACAGGTGTCTGAGTACCTCTTTGAAATCCAAAAGCAGGTGACATGTTTACCTCTTTTAGCCAGTTCCAATGCAGTTTGTTTCCCAATGCCAGTGTTGGCTCCTGTCACAATGACAGTCTTCCCGGGTATGGTGGCCTTGCTGGGACAAGCCCCACCAGCAACATAGTCCCTGAAGGTGAAAAACAGCACGGTTAGCTCAGACTGCCTCATCCCAGACTGTGTGATCTGGGACAAAGAACCCTTCTGTGCTCATGTCCTCCACGAAGGGACCAACACACGACACCATGGGATCCTTGTCACCAGCTCTGCAAAGGGCTCTACTTAGAGTCTGGTGTGTGGAAAGGTGACAATCATTCTTTAAGATTTTTGTGGGGAGAGGGGGTGTCAAGGTGCTTATGTGGAGGTCAGAGAACAGTTCTCCTTCTCCACCATCTGGGTCCCAGGGATCAAACTCAGGTTGTCAGGATTGCAAACAATACCTTTACCTGCTTAGTCATCACACCGGTCCTCTGTCATTCATTTTTAAAAATTCACTGTAGCTGGGCATGGTGGCACACACCTGCAAGCCCAGTACTCAGGAGATCGAGGCAAGAGGGCCAGAAGGTCATGGTCATCCTCAGCTACCTGGCCCAGTTCAAGGCTAGCCTGGGACAAAATGATACCTTGTCTCAAAAGAAAAAAGCAACCTAATTGGGGCTGGACAGGTGCTTAGTGCTTAAGAGCACTGCCTGCTCTTGCAGAAGACCTGGGTTCGATTTCCCAGCACCCACGCAGCACTTAACAACCAACCATCTGTAACCCCATTTCCAGGGGATCTGATACCCTCTTCTGACCTCCATGGGTACACAGGTACACTTACATACATTCTGGCAATACACTCATACATATAAAAATAATACATTTTTTTTAAAATCACACAAACTGTACTGACAAGAAGTCTACAATAAGCACCACTGAGATAAGCCTAGGTATCAGCACACTGCATTCCTTCCAGAACCCCAGGAGAGACTCTCACCATCTCCCACAATCCTCCACTCCCGGCCCATTCCTCCAGCATTTTGTTTCATTTTATTTTTACTTTTGTTTTAATTACATTTAAGGCAAAGACCTTTACCTGTAGATCCAGTTCTCTGAGACCAATGATTTTGTTTTAAGGCAGGATCTCACCTAGCCCAGAATTGACTGGAACTCAAAATGTAGCCAAGGATGGCCTGGAAGCAGAATTATAGACATATACCACCTTAGTCTATGCCAAGGTTAATTTTTTGTGTAATTGAACAACAGTAGTTTATGTTCAGTAACCACATCTGGTCAGTAGTTATCACCATGAACAATGTAAACATAGGATATATTTTACCCATTGACCATCACAGAAAATTCTACTAAATGCACTTGGGAGGCTGGGACAAGGGAATTGCTGCCAGTCTGGGGCCAGACCAAGCTACCCACAGTGAGTTTGAGGTCAGCTGAACTATAGGAGAAAATGACTTTAAAAAGTAAGGAAGCAGGCCTGGCGGCACCTTCTTTTGATCTCAGCACCTGGAAGGCAGAAGCAAGCAGGTCTCTGTGAGTTCAAGGCCAGCCTGGTCCACGTAGTGAGTTCCAGGCCAGCTGGGGCTACAGAGAGACCCTGTCTCCAAAAGGAAAAAAAATAGTGTTTTTGGAGGGAAACCCTTACCTAACCTGGTGTAGGTAACTTAGGGGGCCCCAGAGGTGGGTGAGAAGCTTCACTATAGATTATCCACATACTATGGTTTTCTCCATCTCTTTCCTAGAGACCTCAAAGGCAAATTTCTCCAAAGTTCTGCTGACTTGGTGTCAGCTAGCAGCAAGAACATTTCCTTTGACAGAGGCATGGCCTGAAATAGCACCGCTTACTCGGAGTAAATCTTTTGCTAGAGGAGGAGGAGGAGGAGGAGGAGGAGGAGGGGAGAGTCCAGTTTAAATAAGAAGTTCCCAAGGTCGGGGCCCCACCCCTCCACCCCCGGTGACCTTGGGGGGGGTGACCTGCCCTCCCCCAGCCCCGGCTGGCCGCTCTGGTTAGGGAAGCGCAATGGTGGGTGAGCGGGGAGGAGCGAGGCAGGGCAGGTGACCCTCCCAGGGCCTTGCTCGGTGCTCCCCGGCGGCAAGTCTGCCACCGGCGCGCACTGGACGCGCAAACTCACTTGAGCAACACGGTGCCACCGACCACGGTGCCCACCACGGACACTGGAAGCAGGAAGCGGTTCATGCCAGGCTGGGGACCAGCGTGCCTGCAGATCTGCCTGCCGGGAGGGTCCCAGGCCCAGCGCGCAGCCCAGGGATCCACGTGCACCAGCTCAGCGTGGAAGGTAACGATCCGCTGAACACAGTGAACCGGGCCCGGGGCGGGGCCAATCGCGGGGGCGGGCCCTCTGTGGAAGGCGGGGCCATGAGGGCGCGGCCTATGGGGAGCGCCTAGAGCGCAATGAATGCTGGGAATGGTAGTCTCAGCCGAGGGGGCGGGGCCAGGTTGAGGGGCATGCCCAGCAAGCTGATCAAATGACGTCACACTTCACCTGACGTTCTGCCGGAAATACTGGGTTTAGTTCCCTCCTTTCCCCTTTCCAGACTACAAACCCCGGTGGAATGACCACTGTTTCCTCCTCTGAATATGCATTTACCAGTATATTTTCTTTATAGTCTTTATGGTGGGATGAGGGGGCTGGGTCCTGGACCCCTGGGTCTGAGGGAGGACGCCTGGAATCTGGACTCCTGGGTCTGAGGGAGGAGGGCTGAGGCCTGGACTCCTGGGTCGGAGGGAGGAGGGATGAGACCTGGAGTCCTGGGTCTGAGGGAAGAGGCTGGAACCTGGACTCCTGGGTCTGAGGGAGGAGGGCTGGGGTCTGGACTCCTGGGTCTGAGGGAGGAGAGCTGGGCCTGGACTCCTGGGTCTGAGGGAGGAGGGATGGGCCTGGACTCCTGGGTCTGAGGGAAGAGGGCTGGGATCTGGATTTCTGGGTCTAAGAGAAAAGAAAAATGTTTGCTTAAAAATAACATACTGGGGTCAACAGTATAGCTCAGCCAAACTGAGTCTGGCAAACCCTGAAAAGCTGAGTTTCATCCCAACACAAAACCTAGTCCCCAAAGTTGTCTTCTGACCTGCACAGACACTGCCTGGCACACACACACATACACAGGCACACAGGCATGCACACAAAATAAATATTTTTTGAACATACTGGAATTTTGATCCCTAGCAGGAGAGAGAGAGAGAGAGAGAGAGAGAGAGAGAGAGAGAGAGAGAGAAATGTTTAAATTGTCAGGGATTCAGCTGTGTGGTGAAAACTCAGCTCTTCTTCATCTTTGAGTAGCAAGCGTTTTTCTGACTGAGCCGTCTTCCAGCCTTGATCTGTGTCTTCTATTACAAGCAAAAATGAAAACTGTACAAATTAAATCACACAGGCACTCGGCTCATATCCAAATTCATTGCTGATATCTTTTTCTCCTCCTCTGTAAGTTAAAGTCCTAATACCAACTACTTCTTATTTATTTGTTTAAGACAAGGTCTCCTGTAGCCCAGGCTAGCCTGAAACTAGCTTGCTATGTAGCTAAGATGACCTTCAACTCCTCATCCTCCTGCCTCCACTTCCCAAGTGTTGGGATTACAGATGTGTGTTCACTACCACACCCAGTCTAATAACAGCATCTACTTGGAGGACAGGGGTCAGCAAACTCTTACTGAGGCCCGTCAGTCCTTTCAGATTCACTGCCCATAGGGTAGCAGCCGCTCTGCCACAGTAGCAGGAAACAGCCACAGATGAAATACAAACAGACTAAACTTTATTTAGAAAAACAAGCAATGGGCCATAGTTTGCCAGCCCCCTGTAATGCAATTTCAAAGGATGATTTTTAAAAGTTATTTGTGTTGACAAGGACCTGACCCATGGTAAGTCCCAGAATAGGGATGACTGGAAAGGTTGTTATTATAGAGAAAAAGATGCATGCAAACCCCCACCTTTGAAGGCCTTCTACCCAATTCCCAAGCACCCAAGGTGGCTGGAATGTCTCCTTGCACTTCAGGTAGGCTGCATGCCCCTTTGCCAGTGTTGATGTTGTTAACAAGAAACTGGGAAGTGCTGAGTGCTGAGGGGATTCTCCCCCAAGGTCCTCTAGTTCCCTGTGAGAAAAGCTTCAGGCTTCACTGTCTCTCTCTCTCTCTCTCTCTCTCTCTCTCTCTCTCTCGCTCTCGCTCTCGCTCTCGCTCTCTCACTCTCTTGCTCTCTCTCTCTCTCCCTTCCTCTCTTCCTGCCTCTCTCCTTAGCCTCTCTCCCCTTCTCCTCTCCATCCTCTTCCACAGTTTGTTTGAGACAGGGGCTCATGTAGCCCAGCTTGGCTCCACCTCCTGATTTCTCCTGCCTCCACCTCCCAAGTGCTTGGGTAACAGGTATGCATAGGGAAATGCATTATTTTATAAATTTAACTTTAAATATATGTGTGTATACATATATTTATAGGAATTACATCACACAGGGTGATAAGTCTTCTCCAGGAACCATAGATGATCCAAAAAACACCCCAGTACCAGGCAAGGAAACTTCCCTTCAAGTTGTTGGTGTAGGGGATCCAAGAGAGTCACAAAACAGTATAGGCTATTGCCATGACCCTTGGTTGTCTCCTAGACTGTGAAGGTAACACCCTGTTGCTGAAGTCACCACACACTTAGGAATAGGACTTGTAGGGATGAAACTGTAACTGACCTGGAAGCCTCCTCCCTGAGGACTAGCTCCTATAGTATCTTAAGGTGCCATGCAAGTTGCCAAGGGAGAAAAGCAGTCAATAGTCTTCCCAGCTGCAAAGCCTACAAACCCCAATGACCAGCCCAGCAAGATACCCTCAGTGGTGCAATAGTGGCAGTATTATCTTGGGGGTAACCAACAGTTGTCTAATTGAACTTAAGGCCCATTCAGTAGGAGGAGGTCCATGTCTAGTGCTGTAAACTTTTTTTTTTTTTTTTGGTCTATTTTGAGACGGGGTCTGACTGTAGCCCCAGCTGGCCTGGAACTCACTATGTAGACCAGGCTGGTCATCAACGCACAGAGATCTGCCTACCTCTACCTCCTGAGTGCTGGGATTAAAGGCACGCACCATCACACTCAGCTATGGTACTATAAACTTACCTGTGGCTGGAGAGGCCATCAACCCTATAGGAGAACCTACCCCTGGCATTTTCCTAAATGAGTATAGTTTTTAACTGTATTCTAAATACTTATCCTTATACCCACAGATAAGTGTACCCCGCAACTCTCATCAAATAAGCTTCTTTTTGCAGCAGACAGGCTACTACAGAGATCCACAACTGGTCAAAGTGCAGAGAATACCTGACCATGGGGTGCCCAGCATCAATGATATATCTGAAATGCAACCACTATCCCTAAGGTTCAGGAATTAACATTACGGAAGATGGGGCAGAAAGGTTTTAAGAACCAGAGGACCAGGACACCTGCTGCCAGACGGGGTCTTATAGACATGACAGATATGCTGCACCCATGAAACCTCAACATGGCTGCCCACAAAAAACTTGCATTATAACATCACCGGTCGACATGCCTGTGTGGATGGGGGAAAACTTCACAGAAACCCACCTATAAATGAAGAGCTATAGGCAACCAGTGGTGCTGAGGGATCAAATCAGTTTTCTCCAGGGTCAAGCTCCCTGCGAGGTTATCCAATCCCAAATAGTCAGTCTTAAGCACAGACTACTAACACTAAATAGACTCACATATATGTCTATATGTGTAACAATTATAGAAGAAGAGGTCAAGAACTTGACGAGGAGGGGCTGGAGAGATGGCTCAGTGGTTAAGATCACTAACTGCTCTTGCAGAGGACCTGGGTTCAGTTCCCAGCACCCACATGGCAGCTAATAGCTGTCTGTGAGTACAGTTCCAGGGGATTTGACACCCTCTTCTGACCTCTGTGAGCATTGCATGACATGAATGCATTTGTATACATACAGGAAATACACTCATACACATAAATTAAAATAAAAATAATAAGCCCAGCGTGGTGGCACACGCCTTTAATCCCAGTACTCAGAAGGCAGAGGCAGGTCGATCTCTGTGAGTTCAGGGCCAGCCTGATCTACATAGCAAGTTCCAGGTCAGCTGGGGCTACATGGAGACCCTGTCTCAAAAAGACAAAAAAAAAATAGTAAAGAAAATATTTTTAAAATAACTTGAAGGCTGGGTGTGGTGGTGAACACCCTTAATCCTAACACTTGGGAGGCAGAGGCAGAAGAATCTCTGTGAGTTCAAGGCTAGCCTGGTCTACATAGTGAGTTCCAGGCAAGTTAGGGCTGCAGGGAGACCCTGTCTCAAAAAGACAAGGGAAAAAAAAAGGAACTTGAAAAGGAGTTAAAAGGGGGAGAGGAAAGGGTGGAGATGATAAATATAGTACTTACATATGAAATTCTCAGAAAATAATTTAAGTTTTAAAACGTGGACTTTGTTGTTGTTGAGAGAGGGTCTCAAGCAGCTAAGGCTGGTCTTCAATTCCCTATGCAGCCTAGGATGACCTGAACATCTGACCCTTCTGACTGGGCATCCTAAGTGCTGTTATTACAGGTGTGCAGTGTTGGGAATCAGACCTAAAGCTTCACGCATGCATGCCAGGCAAGCACTCTCTACTGATCTACATCCTCAGCCTCCCCAAAGTGGGCCTTCCTTGAAGCCATGAGAAATTGGAGTCACAGTGCTTAAGACCACTGGTTGCTCTTACAGAGGACCTGGGTTCGATTCCCAGAACCCACAAGGCAGCTAACAACCATCTGTAACTCCAGTTCCAGGGGCTCCAATGCCCTCTTCTGACCTCTTCAGGCATTGCACAACACAGGTGCACATACCTACATGCAGGCAATACACTCATACACATATAATAAAAATAATAAAATATTTCTTAAAAAATGAAATTGCAGTCTTTTGTTACATGGCCAAATTAGCTGGAACAATTGTTTTGTTTTTTATCAGTACACCTTGTACCAGGAGCTGGAGAGATGGCTCAGCGATCAACAGCACTTACTGCTCTTTCAGAGGACCTGGGTTCAGTTCCCAGCACTCACATGGTGGCTCACAGCCACATGTAACTCCATGGATCCAATGCCCTCTTCTGGTCTCTGAGGGCATTGCACACAGGCAGTGCACATACACACAGGCAAACGCTGATACACATAAAATTTAAAACTAGGAGGAAAGAGGGGGAAGACAGAGGAGCAGAGGGTGAATGAGAAGCGAAGGGCAGAAAGAAGCAAGACAGGAAGAAACAGTCATGGTGTCTGCTAAGATGACAGACACTGGACAGACAGCAAATCTGAAACCAGGGTGGGCTGGGGACACCC